AAAGATGACACACATAACAGGAAAGAAGCAAATAAGCCCAACAGGAGCGACAAAGAGAAAGAGGAAGAGTTAAGCCAAGACGCACGCGCACATTTCCTTCGATACGCAAATACGCCTTTTTTTTTCCTAATTTTCAAGCTTCATCCCTCCTTTTGCTCAGACGGTCCACGCGTGTGCTCCCACTTTTCTTTATTTTCCTTTTATTTCCCCTTATCCGTCCATCCGGGCCCCTCCCGAACACAACACTCACAGCTAGAGAGGAGGATAAACAGAGGCCTAGATACATACACGCGCACACAAGCACACATCTAAATACATATGTGTGCATGTGCGTATCCACTGGTCCTGCCTGTGCAGAGGGCAGAAATGAAGGAGGCTCGACATTTGCGTGTAATTCATCTCTTCTTCCTTTTCTTCTCTCTTCGTCCTTCCCCTCGCATTTGATCCACCGCCCCCTCGGAAGCCGCGACGTCAGAGGCAGCAACACGGCACGCGCGCAGTTTGCGATGCCGCGCATCCTCCCGCTCCCGCCGTGTTATATTACACACACCCACGCGCGCACACACATGTATACATACATATACTACGCGCTTTCTTCTTCACAGCACCTGGATGCAGCGGCAGCACCCGTCATCGCAGAAAAAAAAAACGCACACACACACACACACAGAACAAAAAAAAAAAGAAGGGGCAAAGCTCGGTGTCGTCTTTGCCGCCCGGTATTTTTTTCCCCCGTGTCACGCATGACGCCCCTTCCCACCCAGTAGGCGGCGTTCCCCATTTATAGCACAGCCAAAATGGGGGGAAAAAAGAAAAATTAAAAAAAAAACCGTAAAAAGGCAGAAAAGCAAAGCACAATATTGCGCAATACACAGCCACTCGGCAGAAGCGGCAGCATTGAACCGCAACAGTGGGTTCCACTTGTGTATGTGGGTGAGGATGTAATGGCAGTACATATATAATATATTTATGTAATTGATGTAGAAGCATATATTTATGTTTAATTTACACTTAAACTCCCATCAGCGCCCGCGTACATTCCTGAGGCAAAAGGAACACAAAAAAAAAGAAAACGAAACAAACAAACAAACAAAAAAAGAACTGATCCTCTCCTTTTCATCCTTCAGCCACATGGACGTGGATTCCTCTCGCCCCCTCAGACACACGCAGAGGCGCACACGCACGAGCACGGCCGGAAAGAGAGAGGAGAGGTGGCGTATATCTCGCCGACGCGAATGCGAAAAGTATATTAACAAAACGAATTAAATAAGAAACGAAGCAAAAAAAAAAAGCAGTCAACCCCCCCCCAAAGAACGACAAAAGACGAACACGAAGAAAGAAAATGGGGTGAGTGACACGCACGGCCCTCACATCCGTCTCTCCGTCCTCCCACCTCTTTGCCCGCTGTCGCCCCTTCCTTCCCGTCGTCGTCGTCTTCGTCGTTCCGCGGTGGTCTCTTTGGGAGGCGCACGCGGGGTCTTCTGTGGGAGTTCCTCCGCTGGTTGCCACTGCAACTGAGGAAACGAAAAACACAACCAAAGGTATGAAAGACACGACTAAAACGAAAAGAAAAACAATAATAGTAAAAAAAAAAGGACACGTAATTTCAGAGGTGCNGTTTTTTTGCCTCTTTAATGCGCGGCGCCTCGTCTCCCCAGGGCCGCCACCGCGACTTGTGCTCTTTGATTCCATCCGCTTCCTTTTTCCCGTTTTCTTTCCATGCAACGCAACATTTAAACGCAACGACACCACGCGCGCGCACACACACATACACGCAGGAAAAAAAAAGGAAAGAAGTGATGTGTCCTTCGAATGAGGAGGAGTGGTTGCGAGCACAAGCAAGCATAAACATTATAACGCAAGGGGTTGGGAGTGAGAGTGAGGGAGATGAAAAAGGACATTTACTCCATCCCACCTTTCCCTCCCCCACGTGTACTTTTTTTTTACTGTAATTTTAATGTTCCCTCCCTCACACAAGAGTAGAGCTTGAGACTCCGGTTTCTGGGAAAACCATGTAAACCGCTGTCTGTGGCGCCATTTGTTGCGCTTGCGAGGTAAACTGCGGCACCAGCATTAACTGTGGAGGGAATACACCGGGCACGGCAGACGTCGAGGAGGCTGACAGGACAGGCGGGACAACGGGCGAGTACATCGTTGGATAGACCGTGGGGAAAGGGAGTGTTGCCATCATCATAGCCGGATTTGTCGTCGCTGCTGGCACTAACGCTTGTGGCTGCGGCGGGACGAGCGGCGGCTGCTGTGGCAGCGGCAGCGGCGGCGAAGGTGGTAATTGATGCATTGACTGCAGTGCCGGAGTTGAGCTGCTGCTTTTCGGGGTACGTTGGCTATTGTACGCCGTGGACGCATCAGGGTGCGCCAGGCGCACTTGAATTCTGTTGCCCCCAATCACGCTGCCGGAGAGAGTCGAAATGGCCAGCTCAGCCGCGGAGGCGTTTTTGTACAAAACAAAACCGTACCCCTTCGACTCCCGCGTTCCTTTTTTGCGCATGATTCGTGCAGAGCTAATAGGCCCATACAGTGCGAAGAGGTCAAAAAGCTGCTGATCGTCAAAGTCCAGGGGAAGACTGGCGACATATACATTGCGTCCGAACTCGGACTTGTCCGCTGATGTTGGGCTCCCCATTGTTCCTCTTTGCTTCGCTGGCGCTTGGTACCGGCCCTGTGACGCTGAAGTTTGCGACACCTTTTCCACCCAACGCGAATTAAGCAGGCAAAGCACCCAAAGCAAAAAAAAGAAAAAAAAAGAAAAAAAAAACAAGAAATGTTTCAGAGAAATAAAGAAGACACATTACAGATGTAACTCGCGTCCCAACATACTTCCTCTCGTTGCTTTTGTTTATCATACCGCAGCCGCTTTTTTTTGTATTGTATTAATCGCCTGTGCACGCGGGATGGAGGTGCAAGCCCCGTTTCCTTTCGGCGCGTTGCTCTTGCTGATCTTCTACCCTTTTGCGTTGGCCGCGTGCTGTGGCCCCGCGACCGGCGCAGGCACCCCTTAAGCGGGGGACACCAACGCACACTCCGTTGGGTGATGCCACTCGCCACAGACGAAGCAGCGGGTACTGGGGCCCCCCTTCAGCGACGCCGTCTTGTGCGGGCAGGAGCGAGCCACGTGGTCCGCCTCCCCGCAGACGAAGCAGAGTTGCTTCTTTTTGTGTGTTTCAGGCGCAGAGGCCTCCGGCGGGGCCAGCGGGGCCGTCAAGGAGGGGCGGGGCTGTCGGTGGTCCACCATCGTCAAGTGACGCACGCTCTCGAGGTCGTCCTTCAGAAGCCTGAGAATGGCCCGGACGACCACGCTGCTGGTGGACTCCCAGCTCTGCGAGGGGTCGTTTATCTTCTGGCTCAGGGCAGAGTCCAGCTGGTCCTTTAGGTGCTTCAGCAGGGTGGCATCCTCGCTCCTGCACTTAAACGCCGTCATATCATCCACAACGAGCTCGCCGTACTTTGGCAGGTACTCCAAGCCGCCGCCGCTGAAGAGTATGACGTGAAGCGGGGTAACCATGGAGACGTCGCGCAGGAACGTGGCAGAGGTCTTCACCTTGTCCACGTAAACGAGGAGCGGGGAGGCAAAGCTCTTCGCCCTTCCCGCAACACTGGAGGGGTGAATCAGCACCTCCGACCCATCAAATGTGGTCATGTTAACAAATGTGCCGCCTTTTCGACTGGCACCAGTTTTGACGCGTGCAATGTTCGGGTAAAGGCCGGCCACGACGCACGACAGAATACACTTCACACTACCCGCGTTGGCGTTAAATCGCTCCCCGCCGGATTCATACACGCGGTCCTCAAGAGTCATCACAGGGCCGTACAAAAATCGTTCATGCGAAGCCTGAATTGGGGCCTCCTCAATAAATCCTGCCTCGTAGAGATAACGCTCATACTGTCGCTTGGTGGACTGAATTTGCTTTAATACCGGCAGAGAGAGATAGTAACGTGCACAGAGCTTCTTCGCAGCCGAAGCACCTTCTTTATGTTGCATAGCAATCCAACTGGCGTAGGCAAACCAAGAAACTAAGTGATCCGACATATATTCCCCTGCAAAGGCTCTTCTTACCGCTTCCACCTCAGTCTGGTAGTCCATTGCAGAAAGGAAGGGGCTCCGTACAGCCAAACAGGCCGCTATTGTTAAAACTGGGTCAACGCAGTGCAGAATTGCCCCGTGGATAATCATCTTTCCTATGCGTACGTCCAAGGGAAGATTTGCCAGGTGTCGACCAAGGGAGGTTAAACGCTTGTCAAAGGTCAAGGCTCCCAGAGTCGTCAGTACTCGCACGCTGCTTCGAACAGCACGTTCCTCGGGTGGTGAAAGCGCCTTCTGCAGATACTCCACCTCGTCGCCCAAATTAAGCGAGTAGATTTGAAGAATGAGACTCTCAAGCGGCACACGGTGCATTTCACACAGTTGATGATCGTCCAAGGCCTCAAAGTGGGCACTAGTAAACAAGCGAAAACAAAACCCTTCTCGTACGCGTCCAGCGCGTCCCTGGCGTTGGCGACAATTAGCCTTGGAGACGTTCACGGTCACCAGCTGTGAGAGACTCTTCCTGGCGTCGTAGCGGTTTTCCCTCGCTTTCCCACTATCAATAACAAATACGGCGTCGTCAATCGTAATGGAAGTCTCCATGATATTTGTCCCAATCACCACCTTCCGCTTCCCTTTAGGGGGGCGTTGAAACACGCCATGCTGCTCTGAAGATCCCAGAGAACTATGCAGATTGTACATCACGCAGCTATTCGACAACCGCGGATTCGACTTTAGCTGTTCGATGCACCGCATCATCTCCGCCATACCGGGCAGAAAAATTAAAACCGCCCCATCCACCTTCAGGACAGTGTCAATGTAGAGAACAACACTCTCAATGAGCTCATAGTTGATCACGTCAAGGTTCATCCTTGATATGGTCTCCAGCGTTTTTTGCGAGGCGCGAAGCTGCCCGGCGAGGGTGTGCTCCTGACGCTCCGTCTCCCGTGCCTCTTCAATTTGTTCAGGGTCGATGGCGAGCGCCTGCTTGCGCGTATTGCGACGCCGCTCCTCCCTCTTCACCTCCCACCTGGCGTACGGGGAGCCATCCTCAAGGACGTAGCCAACCATGGGAATGATGTCCTCCAGATGAAAGTGCTGCACCGGGTACGTGCGGCCCCGAATCGAGATGACAGGAGCCCCGCCAAAGTACCGCGCAAACAATTCAGAGTCCATCGTGGCGCTCATGAGCACCACCTTCAGGTCGGATCGTCGTTGGATGAGGTCACGCAAAAGGATAAGCAAGAAATCGGTATCCACCCCACGTTCATGAATTTCGTCCACAACAATGTGGCTGACAGAACCCAAAAACTTCTCCAACTGTAGGCGTCGCAAGACAATACCCGTCGTGCAATAGGTGATCTGCGTGCGCCGCGACACGCAGCTTTCAAGACGAATCGTATAACCCACGACACCTCCCACCGCCTCGTCGCGTTCTTCGGCAACGCGAAGAGCCACAGAAGTTGCAGCAAGCCTTCTCGGTTGGGTGCATACAATGTTCGCTGAACCCCCCATACCTGACTCACACATAAACTCATACAGATACTGTGGGATCTGCGTCGTCTTTCCGCTACCCGTCTCTCCACCAATGACGACAACCTGATGCCTTGAAAGGGCCTCGCGAAGCTCTTCACGGACCTGAAACGCAGGCAGTTGTTCACGTGTTTTTTTCATCGTCCCAGTCTTCTGAAGAACCTCCCACTCCGCACTAAGTTTGGCATTAAGCGATTTGTCCAATTTTAAGTATTTCCGACGCACCTGGTCGCCCTCATTTTGGGTGCAGTCAACTGTCGTGAGCCCAATTTTTACCGGCATGGTGCACGGCACCGGAGGGTCCTCATTAGCTGCCGAGTTCACACCCGGCGCAGCCGTTAAGGCGGTTGCAAACGCCTTCCTCTGTGCATCGATGGAGACCTTTTCTTCCTTGGCCGCCCGCTGCTCCTCCGTCACGCGTGAATTGCTCGTGGAGCTGGGAGCGTGTTCGAGGGACGAGATCGTCCCATGCAAAGAGGAGATGAGGCTCACCAGGCAGCCCTCCCCTGCGAGCCCGTTAATGGCTTCAACTGCCGCATCGAGTATAGATCGACGCGCGGCGGCCGGCAGCTCCTTCGTATCCGCGTGAAACACCCCGAGCGTGGGCACTGCCCCCGTCAGTTTCCCGCGCGGCTGCAAAAAGACAAGCGGGGGATCGGCAGGGTAATGATCGGGGACGCGGACGCAGACCAGCACACTCTTTCCGCTCTCCGTGGAGAACGAAAAATAAATCTCCCGATCCTCAACAGATTCCTCGTCAAAGTTTTTTACTCCCAGGAAACTCTCGTCAAACAGACCTCGTATGGTGTCAAGCTCCTCCTCCAGTACGGCGTCACCCTCCTCGGCGGTCATGTCTGCCTCCACATCGCCCCGGGAGTACCACAACATGTAGGAAAACAACTCCAGGCAGCTGCTTACCAAAAAGGCCTGGTGCGGACCGTCCTCGGCAAGTAGCTCTGCGATGGAAGTGAATGCGGGAAACCTGGCTTCGCCCTGCAAATCTGTCACGTACTGGGTGGTGAGATCGGGCGGGAAGCCCAGTCCCTCGTACAATCTTTGCAGTATTTCCGACGGAGTCAATGGCGTGTTGCGCTGAAGTGTTATTCTTCCTCCCGCATTCACATCAAAGTGTTTCTCAGGCACTGGCACCGCCCCTCCCGTCGCGGCGTGGTGCAGGACATCAATGATCATCTCCCTCCCGGCGCGCGACAGCATGGAAGGAGCCGCCGCGGCCGTGGCGGAAGGTGCGGGTGGGCGACGCCCGCCGCGGCCCCGTTGCGGCTCCCGCGGCCTCCGCTGCCTGTTCGGGCCCATTACTAGCACTGTCGCCAAACACACGGGTGAGGAGAAGAGGGGGAGGGGGGGAAGTTTGACGCGCGTCAACCCGGAATGGCAAGCCAGAAGGAAACCACCCGCCGCGTCCACGCACACTTCCCTGCTCGCACAGAATTCGTCAAACAACGACAATGAAACTAATAAAAAAAGTGAACACAAAACAGAACAAAAGCGACAGAGCAAAAACAGTAAAGGAAAAAAAAAAGAGAAAACATACCCGTT